CGTTTCCATACTTTAATTAGGTAATTTCCATATGCTGGAAGGTATCGAACGAGTTATAGAGTGGTAATCAGTGCAAATCGCGCCCAGGTCAAACCTCATACTTGTGATTTCAATTTGAAGAGCGCATTGGATTGTGGGAAAATCAATGTTTATCAACACAAATGTCGCACATGCGCAGCGCGACGACTACCGCGCTTTAAGCAATGTCGGAATACAGTACACATGTGTACAAGTAGTTAACATTTTGGAATTTGGTGGTATTTGCATATTGAAATTGTGCCAGGTGGTCGCTACACTGTGCATGATTTAACAGAACATTAATTAGGCTAAAAGTCGATCATTATGGGGGTCGACGAATCCCATGTGCGCATTCAAACCTATGTGAAGTAAAAACAATAATTTTCCTCTATGTCTACAACCTTAATTAAAGAGACGGTGTCGTCACCTATGCATGCGTCAGGTGACCATACCCATGAGCCTTTGCGTTTTAGCACGTGTTGTTATCGTCGCTTGCAGGTGGTGTAGGTCAAGCCGCACGGCATTATGGGTACAATTTTATCAAGACTCAAGTCTCGCGCGTGCGCATGTGAAGACCCTTCCGCTTTAAATGCAACCATAATAAATACCTATGACTGTATTACATGGTACCTGAAAACATTTTTGCAAGTGTTCATTTACGGGCTTCACTCTTCACAAATTCGCAAATCAAGTTTCGGTTTCGGTGAAGCCGACCATACATGATCGTTCCTATGAGGCGACGGCCGAATAAACTTCGGCTAGCCACGGTTACTTTTTTAGTAACCGTGGGCTAGCAAAGGATTCATCAAGTGATAGTAATTTTAACTATGTCGAGGGTGTGAATATAACGGAATTTCCACCCAAGGGGCCTCATTACAACGACCAGAGGGGCCATATTATAATGGTCTGTATAGACAGGTCACGTGTGTAGACAGGTGGTCTACTATATGGAGGTTGGATTACTTTTTCAAAGATCACATGGACAATAATGAAATGGTAATGTTGCAACAAAAACACATACATTTGAGCTGACACAAATCAAATAATTTTGACTTAAAA